CGGATGAAAACATCTCTGACTACGTAAGAGCTTTACGTTTAGCGGCAAAAGATTGCTCTTTCGAAACCGTTACCGCTCAAGAACATGAAGAACAAGCAATCCGTAGCACCTTGATCTCCGGTTTGCTTTCTCGTAAAATCAAAGAACGCCTGCTAGAAAATAAAAAACTTACTCTTGCCGAAGCACTTGATCAAGCTATTGCACTTGAAACAGCTGAAAAGGACGCGCTAATAATAAGTAACAATTCACCACAAATTAATGCTATATACGAACAAAAACAAGATACAGCATCAAACATAGCAGCGGCTACACAACACCGACCATCACAAACAATACTTGAACCATCCTCACGATCAGTAAGATGTTGTTTCTTTTGTGGTGGTAACGTACATCAAAGGTTTAAGTGCCCAGCTTTCCGTGCTATATGTAACCTGTGTTCTAAAAGAGGTCATTTTTCAAATGTATGTAAATCACGAAACGCTACCAACAACTCGGCTTCGTTCAAAAACACAGTCAACAGTCTTATCGATGACGGTTCATCTCACTGTAGTACAATATCTGCCGCTTCACCGTCAAGCTTGAAAGGTGCAACTATTCTAATCACGGTGAATGGTTATAAAGCTGATGCTCTTGTTGACACTGGCAGTTCTGTCAGTTTTATAAACAGAAAAATCGCGCGCCTAATGAAGTTACGTCAAAAACCATGTACACAGTCTGTTAACTTAGCCTCGCTGAATCAAGTATCGGTTGTCGAAGGTATTTGCTTTGCCAATATCACCATGAATAAACACAACTACAGGCAAATACCACTTCTTATCGTCGATAATCTCTGCGCGGACGTGATCGTTGGACACGACCTACTAAAAGAACATTCTAAAATTGAATTTGAATTGGGAGGTCCCCATGAACCATTACGCATCTGCAACGTAATGCAGTCCTCGGTGCCACCAGCATCTATTTTTACTAATTTGTCACCTAACATCAGACCTATCGCCGTAAGGAGTCGTCGATACAGTATACAAGACGAAGAATTTATCAAGCAAGAAATATCAAAATTACTGGAAGACGGTGTAATAGAACCAAGCATTTCTCCCTGGAGAGCACAAGTCCTAGTAGCGGGAGGTGGCGCTCATCGAAAACGTCTAGTAATAGACTACTCTATGACTATTAACAAGTTTACAGAATTGGATGCATTCCCATTACCAAACATGGAAACGGTCGTCTTAAAAGTATCGAAATACAAAATCTTCAGTCAGATCGACTTAAAAAGCGCATATCATCAAATGACCATTTTAGATAAAGAGAAAGTCTACACTGCTTTTGAAGCCTGCGGACAACTTTACCAGTTTACAAGAATTCCATTCGGTGTTACCAATGGTGTAGCAGCGTTTCAAAGGACTCTAGACTTCATCATAACCAGAGAGAAACTAGAAGGTACAGTTGTATACTTAGATGACGTGACAGTATGTGGTAAAGATGAGTTAGAACATGAACGTAATCTAAAAAAGTTTATGGATGCGGCGAGAAAATATAACTTAACACTAAATGAAAGAAAATGTGTTTTTAAGAAAACAAAAATCGATCTACTTGGCTATACTGTCGAAAATAACACAATCAAACCAGACGCTGAGAGATTGAAACCCCTTTTAGAACTTCCAGCTCCCATTAAAAACTCAGAACTCAAACGCGCTTTGGGAATGTTCGCCCACTATGCAAAATGGGTTGAAAGATTTTCGGAGAAGATAAAACCTTTAACTTGTGTTTCAAGTTTTCCTTTAACACCTGATGCTCTAAAATGCTTCCAAGAGATTAAATCAGACATAAAGAAAGCAATAGATGATGATGAAACTTTCACTGTTGAAACTGACGCCTCGGATTTTGCTATAGCCGCTACGCTTACGCAAAAGGGTCGTCCAGTCGCTTTCTTCTCTCGAACGCTTTCCAATCCAGAATGTCGACATTCATCAATAGAGAAGGAAGCTTGTGCAATTGTTGAAAGTCTTAAGAAATGGAGACATTTTCTGATTGGGAAACACTTTCTTTTAATTACGGATCAAAAATCAGTAACGTACATGTTGAATCAAAATCACAATAGCAAGATTAAAAATGAGAAGATAATGCGCTGGAGGCTAGAGCTATCCTGCTACAAATATGACATTATATATAGACCAGGTTCGGAAAACACAACAGCAGACGCTCTGTCACGAGTTTGTGCGTACATGAACACCGACAAATTAAAACAGCTTCATAATGCGCTTTGCCATCCTGGAGTAAGTAGAATGTTCCATTGGATACGCTCTAAAAACCTACCGTATACAGCAAATGATGTAAAAGAGATGATTGCATTGTGTCCAACGTGCGCTGAAATTAAGCCAAGATTTTTGAAAGCAAAAGGTCAACTAATTAAGGCTACGTCTCCATTCGAACGCCTTAATATTGATTTTAAAGGTCCTCTCCCTTCTAATTCTTCAAACAAATATATTTTAACGATTATCGATGAATATAGCAGATTTCCCTTCGCTTACCCATGCAAAGATATGACCTCATCCACAGTCATTAAATGCCTGAAAGACCTGTTTCTCACTTTTGGCCAGCCTCTTTACATACACAGCGACAGATAACCTCATTCATGTCTGAAGAATTTAAAAATTTCCTAAAAAACTCAAACATTGCATCCTCAAGAACGACGCCATACAATCCACAGGGTAATGGTCAAGTGGAACGTTTGAACGGAACACTTTGGCGTACTATTCAGCTCAGTCTACGTTCAAAGAGTTTGTCAATTGGAAACTGGGAGGAAGTCCTTAAAGATGCCCTTCATTGTATCCGATCACTTCTTTGTACATCGATTAATGCTACGCCACATGAAAAACTATTCACGTACCCTCGAAGATCACCAAACGGGGATTCGCTACCATCATGGCTTTCAACGCCTGGACCTGTTCTAGTAAAAAAGAATGTCCGTCACTCAAAGACTGATCCCGTAGTAGAAGAAGCTGAACTTATCGAGAGTAATCCTTACTACTCTTTAATTAGAAGAGCTAATGGAGAAATGTCAACCGTGACAAATCGTCATTTAGCGCCCTTCCCAAACAACGTTGACGAGGGTGAAGATGACGTTAGTCTTGAAACTTCAGAGACTGAGGCCTCACAAGAATTACAAACTTCTGATGGATCTTCGACGGAACAAGAGGTTAGAAGGTCTACTCGAATTAGAAGGCCACCCTCGTGGTTTCAAAACTTTGTTGTAGAAAGTGGAATTGAAAATTCTACAGGGGCAGAAAATTCTGCAGAAGAAGAAAATTCTACAGGGGAAGAATGATATGATATTTTATCTAGTTATCATTTGATAGTCATTTATCGTTATTGTCAAAGTTAATTTAATTGTCTAGTTGATTTCTTTAAGCTAATAAAAGCCATATTTCCAGTGGTTACAAATATTATATCAATCTCCACTTGTACTACATGTAGGATTGTATGAAATTTTATGTCTTACTAACCTATAATAGCACATTTTATATCTGTGATACGCGGGCATAAAGTACCACTTTATGCCCTAGGGCATTAAGTATCACCATAGTAACTCATTTATACTTAATGACAAAACAAACAAATATTTGCAGGCCATTGAAAATTAGAAACGTAAATTATTAATTGTCAATACCTACTAAATCACAAGATTGGCCTTATTTCGTATAGTTTCTGGAACTTCTTGCTCATTCGCGATGAATTGAATTATTAAAAATTACGGTTGACGTTTGGATGGTTTTAATCACATTAACAAATTCGAACCACGCATACTCGATCAAACATAATGAATTATTTTGTAAACGAATTTTGCCGAAGAACACTATTTGTAAAACATAAAATTGTGTATGTACCACGGGCATAAACTGATGTTTATACTCTCGGGCGACTAAAAAGCTCTCGGGCCATAGGCCCTCGAGCTGTTTAACTTGTCGCCCTCGAGAATATAAACATCACTATTATGCCCTTAATACATAAATAACTATTATAGTCTACCCGATGCTATTAAGTTGCTTAATGAAAAGGTTTTTAGCAACAACATTAAACAATTTTTGTTGTCAAAGGCGTTCTATTCGCAAAATGAATATTTTAATTTCAAATTCAACGAAAAAATTTAAATTTATGTATTAGTTTAGATCTCGGTTTAGATTTTTGTGTAATTTTATTTTGACGATTGTATGTAACCTTTTTCGGTTACTTAAACATAGTAAAAGTTATTATTATTATTAAACTCCATCACCATAAACAGTATTAATCTTATTAAAAAGCTCATACGAAGTTTTTCCTTTCACATCTTTCGCTAGAGCTGTCCTGACTAGAGTTTCAACGTACGATTTCGTTTTGAAGGTTAGGAGTCGGGCTGTACGGCAGTTTGTCGAAAAAACGTACCCTATGGCCGTGAAAGCCTCGGTGCACTTAGTTTCTGGAAAAGGATTTATAGAAACGGTTTCCATATCCATTGCACAAAGTTTTGAGTTTTAGCCGGTTAGCTATGTCTTGAAAAGAAGACCACAGAATATTTTGAAAATGTAACAATTTTTAACTTTTTTGTGCAGTAGGCGTTGCGTTGGTACGAAAAAATGCTACTCAATACAGTATGTACTTTTTTTTTCGGTCGATATAGAAAAATGAAGTTGACGATGATTTCTGAAAGACGAAACGCCACAGTGAAAGTCTGTGGGCGCCATCTTCTAGAGCATATAAAGTGTGGAAGTGTTATTTGTTTTCCAAGCAGAGTCAGAAAAAAATAAAAACTAATACGGTTCATTTCGTTTTTTTCCCAAATATCTTCGGAACTGATCGGAATATCCGAATTTAACCGACTGTGCATCTCTTATAGTTTCCGATTTACCCATGCTGTTCATTCTTATCCCCGACACTAGGACCATAACCTGTTGAAACCTTTTCAGTGATTTGTAATCGACTTATAAATGTGAAGCTCAACAAAGAATTGAAACATATTTTTCACTTAGGATACGGCAGTGGTTGGGACTTGATAGTACCGTCCGGTTGGGGAAATTCTTTTTGGCAAGCGTTAATCATGTGGGGCGCACGCGCTGGCGGTCTACGCGATTTTGATAGTCTACGGTTCGAAAGCGGCGATCTACCATTCTTGGCGCCCGATACTGAAGCCGGTCAGCTGGAAGAGAAACGCCGTTGCGATCTAAGTAGGCAACGATACTTTTCGTTGCCGCCCAACAAGCGCGCGAATTATACTAAACTGAACGTCGCCGAACCCTTCTGTTTTAATTGGAGGACTTTGCTACAGGAATGGGATCCCAATCGGGCGGAGTGTGGGAAGCTGACGGTTCTTAGAGACAATAAGTCGCTAACACAATTGCGGGTGAGGCTTTTTTGTAGTTAACAATGTCGTTATTTTTATTTACAGGATGCTCTAAGGAAAACGGGAAGGGTCGCGTACGATATCGCTTCCAATTACTTGATACCTGTCAGGCTTAAAATTGAGAAGAAGGGCACAGTAAGGCAGTTCGCCCAAATTTGTTTACCGCTGCCGCAAGATCTGCTTAAGTGCGGTCTTCCATGCGAACCTTTAAAGGAGGATCTAAATCAAGCGCTTAGAAAGGACAAACGAGACGCTCATCGGCGGCTTTTAAAAAAGCTGCGAAGGGAGAGGATTAAAGCCCGAAAGGACGGCAAGGTTTTCTGAATCCCTTGTAGTTTTAATTAATTTCTTTTGTACAATTTCCAGGGTGTACAATCGGTCAATTTGGATGCGATTAAAGAATATCGCGAACAAATGAAGGCGCTTTGGCTGCCAGTCGCCAGTCGTGGGCTTCGACGTTCGTGTTCGCGAGAGGTTATGGGCTACGTAACATTTGGAGATTTTAGTTTTACTCAAGCGAGACATTGTGGTGTCGGTTATGTGACTAGTGGCGCATTGAGAACATTACTTGATCAAAGAGTGAAGGATAAAGTTTTAGTTCGAAATATTTCTTGTCGGAAATTCCGTTTAGCTAATATAGATATCGTGGTGTAATAAACATTGGAATTCATTACTTTTGCAAAACCTTTTTTTCCTTTCTTGTTTAAGGATACGCCATCGTGGAGTGGGAGTAATGGAAATTTTTTCTGAGATTGGAAAGGATGTAGGTATCCAAAAAAGGTAAAGCCGCTAGATTCATTCTTCTAGGTGTTATGGAGCAATTAATGTTTTTATTAAGGCCTTAATTAACGATGCAATTTTAATTGCACGAAAAATTGCTCAGTGTGAAAGGTTCCACCCTGTATATACAACTTACGAGGATACATACGTTTTTGAGAGTTGGCAACTATGCAATTTCTAGGTGGGGAAAAGCTGCCTGCGCCATCTAAAAAGCACGAACGGGGGTTACGTTTCGCATCTTGTCTTGAATGGCGGTCGTGAACGCGTCTCGCTCCATAAATGTTTGTTGTTATTTTGTGTTATTTAATGCAGGTAGTAATTTTTGCATTTCTTTATATCGTATTTGTGTTTCGTATGCCGCATTTTATACTTTTTGTATATCTTTGTTTTTGAAATTGACTTGGTTTAACCGCAATGCAGAATCACATGTCTGATACCGTTATGCTATTGTTTGTAATTGTTTACGTTTTTGGTGTAATGCTTGCTTAATTTATGTTTATTAATGTTGATTACTCGGTATTGTCCCTGAAGTAACATTCATGTATGTTTTCATAATTTTATTTTAATATGTGGAAATTACCGATTCGTTTGATGTGTGTACTGACTTGTTGTTTGTTACTAACAATTTTCTCCGTGAATGAAGCAGTCATGGGGCTGTTCAAAAAACTAGTCAAAATTGAGCTACGACACCTAATTCCGTGATTGTCTTCGACATCCAATTGTAGGTTCGAAACACCGAAACCAGGGGCGGACTATCCATCTTGCCGGAGCGGGATTACGCTAATCATTTGCCTACAAGGACATGTAATTTTCCATCTTGCTTTTAAAAAAAGGACTTTATTGCACCAAAGATGAGTCACATCCTGTACTCTTAACCCTTTCTCAGAATTTAGGTACCTGCTACCCGACCCAATAGCCAGGTTGCGGGCAGCATTTTCCGTTATGTTAGACGGCCATTTTTTCTTATAACATAAGAAATATAAATTTTTGTAGAAATAATTTACGGTATGAGGGCTTTTTGTACTTACGATATATTTATAAATAGCGGAACCAATGAAAATGAAGTTCTTATAATGTGTCACTGCGCAGTACGTAATCACTCATAAATAACATTTTTCTGCTAACCTACAATTGTGCAGTGTTTATGTTGGCGGTAGTTCTTTTCTTTTTGTCTAAGAGCATAGTAGTGAACTTTGGACATTTTAACACAATGTAAAATAAAAGTGAGGTTAAGACTCCTTCAAACTTATAAGCAAAATTGAACACGCCCAGCACACAGAACACTTATAAACTTATATTATAAGGAAAAATGGCCGTCTAACATAACGGAAAATGCTGTCCGCAACCTGGCTATTGTTCCCAAAAACTTGCTTTTAACCTTGAGTGTAACCAACATTGTGTATTATACATTTACTATCTTTGTTAACTACTGTTTAAACTTTTACAAAATATTTTGTTAATTAACTTTTGGATTGTATTAATCAAACTGCGAGGTTTTTCTTACGTCGTACTCTTTTTACCATTAGCAGTTCCTTTTTCGAGAGTACAACACATTTGACTTTGCTTGCTTTGTTTATATTAATGCAGAGCTGGGCAGTATTCTATTTTGTAAATAGGTACTTTTTAGTATTCAAATCCTTTAAAGTAATTAAATACTTTTATGGAAGCAGTATTTGTATTTGTAACACAAATACTTTCACAAATATTTAGTATTCGAATACTTCGCATAGTATTTGAATCCCTTTTTACCAAAAATCGACTACACCAAAATTTCTCGGGAAAACACTTTTTCTTATTAATTTTGGTGCGTAGAATAATCCAAAACAATTCGTACTTTTTCGATCAGACTTCTCAATCAAAAGACTGGAAAACAATTTCGAAAGAAAATTCAAAGGGCTGTAACTTTTGAACTAGTAGCCCAATCTTGGAACTGTTTGAAATTATGGATTCTACAGGCCACATTCTATAAGAAAATTTTTTTCCGGGTCGATCTGAGACAATTTTTTTTTCAGGCCTCAAAAAAAGGCAGTGTATAACCTTCCTTTTTACCAAAAATCGACTACACCAAAATTTCTCGGGAAAACACTTTTTCTTATTAATTTTGGTGCGTAGAATCCAAAACAATTCGTACTTTTTGAAGACTTCTCAATCAAAAGTTATAGACTAGAAAACAATTTCGAAAGAAAATTCAAAGGGCTGTAACTTTTGAACTAGCAGCCCAATCTTGGAACTGTTTGAAATTATGGATTCTACAGGCCACATTCTAAAAGAAAATTTTTTTCCGGGTCGATCTGAGACAATTTTTTTCGGGCCTCAAAAAAAGGCAGTGTATAACCTTCCCTTTTTACCAAAAATCGACTACACCAAAATTTCTCTGGAAAACACTTTTTCTTATTAATTTTGATGCGGTTTTGAGTAACAAGTATTTGAATACTTTTCAAAGTAAGATAATGAAATAATTTTCAAAGTATTCGAATAGGTACCTTTGATAGTATTAGAATACTTTTGAAAGTATTCGAATACATTCTAAAGTATTTGAATACTTTTCAATGTATCTGTATCTAGTTTTCGCTTGTGCTGGACGTAATAGTATTTTACATTATTAGCCCGGTAAGTGAGTTTTTACTGGCGATAGGAGAAGTTGACTAGCGAGCCGTCAGTATTCAAATGCCTGTGATTTGTGTAAAGTATTTACTATTTAGTATTCAAATACTTTTTGAAAGTATTCTGCCCAGCTCTGTATTAATGTATATCAACTAAATTTCTGGGCTTTCACAATCATAATAATTACGATCATTATTAAACAAACTTTTCACAATTTCAGTGTTTTATTTAACAATTCTTCCCATCCCTACTGTGCTTCAGGTCATAGCGTTGTTTACAACTAACGTAAGGGGGCCCTGCCTTAGATGTTTTATCACGTGCCACTTTTCAAATTTAACCGGGATCTTTTTTAGTTTTGGAGGAAATAGTCATTCGGGAGGCCATTTTTAAACGTTGCCGGGTTGACTTTATCTCGTGTTCTTGTAGTGTGAAGTTAGCGTAGAACCAGGGTTAAGTACATACAAGCTGTAAATAAATGAAACAAACCATATAAAATTATTTATTTAAATTACTATTTACAATGTGACAAAAAACCTGATTGTTCCATCACGATTCGGCAACAATCTGTTCATTGTACTCTTTATAAAGCCTTTGCCATGGAAGCTTGGGTTTAATTATTTTTAAAATTTCCTTTAGCAAATCTTCCTTATTTAACCCCTAAAAGGAGAAAAAAAAACAAATGCTAAAATATCCCCCCCAAGAAATACACACCAAGATGCAATCTGAACCTTTCACCTTACTCGACTTCGAATACTTTGAATTCATGAGTTCGTCCAAAATCGACCTTAACCTGCACTCTGGACCTAGGACAAGTTGGGTTAAGCGGAGCGATTTTGTGGAAGTACCCACCCTTTTCTAGGAGATGATTTACGGTGGCCATCAGCCAGTGTTTGAATTCGGCAGCGGAGCGCAGTAGTGAGCTGGCGGCTATCTGAGATTCGAGGAAGCTCAATGTAACGCCCGAAGGCAGAGTATCTGCAGCACCATGTATCGGTATACTTTTTTGTAGTGATGCTAAAGGCAGTGTGCTAGGTAAGGATTTACTTAACGAACCACCGGCTTTACTTACAGGATCTAACGGATTGGATAACAGAACCCTGAAATATAAGATTGTACTTTCGGCCCGTAAAAATTCAGTTACCATGTTTGCATATTTAAGCTGTAAGAGTAGGCTCGTCCATCTGTTAATGTGACAAGTGGTAGGTTCGCATCTGTGAGTGTGCAGCTGCTGACCGATGCTGAAAAGAATTTTATTTTTCATTTGCCTATTAGGTATATGCCAAATATATCTGTCATATGAGATATATAAAGCAGTCTATGACGCCCAAGGGCATAATGCCAAATATATTGATGGAGTTATGTAATGAAAAAAGAAACTACTTGATACGTATGAAGCACTAACAATAATCATTACATTTGTATATAGGAAATGCATTACTTGGAACGATGAAAAATAAAATGTTGTATGCACCTCAGGCATTACTCAATCTTTAACCCTCGGGCGACTTACAAACCCTCGGGCCGGAGGCCCTCGGCATAAATATCGCCTTAATGCCCTTGATACATAAATAACTATTAAACGCTTGAGAGTGACCTTAAGGTTTTACCTTTATTTGACAGTAAGCTTCTCAGTGAAATTCTGCTTAAAATCGATTTCTCATTTTCCAAATCCCACATATGCAGCAAACCGGTTTTGGTTAAGACCAGGCAGTGGCAACATTCGCTAATGCAAATCGAGACGGCGCTATCTTCTATGAGCAACGAGGGAAACACCTTCGATCCGGATTTAACAAAGAAACAATTGACGGTCATATCATCACAGCACACTACTACGAATTTACGATTGGCGGCCACGCATCTGATCGTAGAACCTTCAAAAGCCGGTTGGTTATCAATCGTTGATTGCATAATTCAAAATTACCGAGAAAAGTTTCCCAAATAGGTTGATTATCGTCGACATTCTTGAACATTTCAACCTTTGCAAAGGATCCCTTAGAAGTCACGTTGCAGCCGTTTGTAATCTACGCATAAACTAAATGTAGTGACCGCCGAAAGAGTAAAGTAGCATTCACAACCTTACAATTAATACGCACAATTAACAGTTCAAAATTAGCGTAAACGTTTAAGCTATGTATTTTAAAGGGCAACATTCACAATATTCAAAATTAATCGTTAGAATTAATACTTAAAGCATCAAACTGCAAATTTTGCCGCTTAATTTGACTGAAATTAACAGAGGTACGCATGCGTGCTTTTATATGACAGTCAACATAACCATGCCTTTCTTGTTTTGATTTTGTTACGTCTACAATGAATGGGGAGAACAGAAAAGTACCTTGCCGCATTAGGATTAAGCCCGATTTTTGTGCTTGCGCTACAAGATAATATGGTGAAAGTTGCCGTATTAACCTCTCTGTTACATAGATGGCGACACTGCTTACATACTAATTTCACATATTGCGAATGATTCCTTTACGTAAAGTTGACGTAATAATTTCACTCATTAATTATAAACATTAATTGTAGGTTGTGAATGCAGCTTTAAGGTTTTACCTGCATCTTGATGTGACTGGTTTTTTTTGTTACCGTCGAACCTGACGGTAACTTCAACGGCTCTAATACACTAATAAAATGTACTATCGGTTGATCGCCCGGGACGTCTGAACACATTAATTGGTTTATTTGAACACCGGGTGGTTGTGCTTTAGGTAGGGTTGTACTTTGTACGGCCTCGACAGTTTTATTACTGAAATATCGCGGAATAATATACTGAGAATTTTGTGACATGTATTTTACCTTGCAGGAGGGACAGACTGTGATTGTACGGCAACGGGCGCACATTCTTTTCTCGTCTCCACAATAATCTTACTTTTGGACGGTGACGAACTACTAAAAGACGTCGAAATCTCATTCATTAACGACACTTCCAACGAATCCCTGAAAGAAACTTCGCATTTTACCGCACTAAGAAATAAGCATAGTTACTTGGCCAATACGGGCGCCGCAGTTAAAAACATCGGCGTAATTCGTCTTTTACCCGAAGGGAGACGAGTTTCGATTTGTTTGTTAGGCACGACTAACGGCGGCGCGGACTTCGGCGACTCTTGCGGTGCGGGCGGCGTGACCAGTTTGGGAATTTCCTTTTGAATCGACGGCTGTATGCGTTGCTGATCGTTAATTTCTTCCATCGCCTGTAGCAGCTCCGGATTTTCAATAATTTGGCTGCCTGTGAAGCTCTGGTTCCAATTCCGTTGTAACGATTTACCGTACATTCGTTCGTATAGTGCATTCTAAAAGATGTTCCAGTCAGATTAGGCATTTGGTACATTAATTATGGTGTGTGTTTTAATTCAAAGGGTGTACTTTGCTGCAACAAGCATTCCAGGGATAGGACGCACTTTAGTGCTGTGGTATTTATGCTATTTTTTGTACTCCGGTAGTCAGTTACATCAATTTCAATATCTACACATAAAAGATAAATTGTGGATTGCAACAAAAAACTCTGTGACGGCATATGTTTATAAGCGAGTTGTGGTGGCATGGTGCATCAACTCACTCGCTATTGCCAGACGTGTCAAAAATCGCACTGCGCATGCGCAATAGGCAACTTCCATATTCGAGGAGCAATGTGATCGAAATTGTTATGGTAAGCTCTTCTAATAAAAGCTAACAGAATGGACGCAATTTTTTGTATCGTCCCACTCACCTGAAGGCGCCAATGCATCTCATTCGGGACCTACTACACGCAGGCATGTCAAACATGCGGCCCTCAGTTCTCAAACCTGCGGCCCGTCACGATGTTTGCAAATTATAAAATTGAATTGTACCGTGTGTCCTATTTTGGTTTTTAAAGATAGAGACTTGCGGTTTTCGCGAACCTGTGTCACTTTTTTGTGAAACAGAATCAATCTAGCTTCGTTTGTTTCTGAGATACCGGGTGTCTGCTCGTGTAGGCGCAGTTCCATTAAATCTGGACTGCGGTGCTAAGGGTTGCTGGTTCAAATCCGGGTTTGGGCATGGATATTTGTAAATGGGTTGGATTGGTAGAGCCGCCTGAAACCCCGCCCACTCAAAAATAAAGGCTACATAAATAAATAAAAAATAAAAACGAAAAGTTTGACTTTTTGGGACGTTGTCAGATCTTACTACCGATGTAAGATTAAAAAAAGGTAAAAACTGCCTATTTTAATATTGTTACGTAGAATTCAGTCGCATAGTAAAAAAACTTTTGGACCACCGTTTCTGAGGTTTGACCCGAAGTTGGTATTTTTTAAATGCAACACCCTATATATTTTAACGTCAATTTTTGTGTGTTCCGTTTCCTAATTACATTGATGTATCACAACCTGTATTGTTTTAATTTGAGCGATTTTACTCTTTTTAAATAGTAGGCCATGGATTCATCGAGATTTTGATTTGTTTATTGTATCCATGGTAACTAAGGCAGCCAATATTAATCAATGGTTGACGGTAGAATCATGTCATTTCAAAATTTTGAAAAATATGATAATATAATAAAAAAAATAGGATGATACATCAATGTAATCACTAAAAAGAATTCAAAAAATTGTACGTTAAAGTATACAGAGTGTTGGTGGTCGACCATTGTTTGTTAGGTACTACGTCACTACTACTACATAAAAATAACTAAAATTAGGCAGTTTTGCCTTTTAACCACCTGTACGTTAGTAAGGGAGATATTGCATCGGGGTAAAAAAAATGACCCTCCACTTTTTTTTATGGAAATACGTTTTGAGGTACCAGGAATCCGAATCAAACAAAATTTCGATGTCTGTCTGTACTCTCATTTCCGGGAACCAAGTTTGCTACCAATACTCTTAGACATAAACAATGGGCTGTATTTTTTCGTGTTATTGTTTTTTATCATGTGGCCCCCAGCTATAGGAATGTGCAAACCTTAAAATGGCCCTTGATGATAAATGAGTTTGACATGCCTGTTAACTACAGTGTCACATTCTGAAGTTCCTCTTGTGCCAGATACCATTTTTTCCTTCTTTCCCCCATTTTGGATTTTTATTCGTAAAGATCTCATAACCATAAAAAATCACATCAAAGATAAACAGGCCTCAATAGTTTGTATTCACCTTTACAACAAGAGAACTCTTATAGTAATAAATATGCCTCTGTATTGTCTTTTATACAGGGTGTAGCACCTAAGATCCCTCGGATCATAACTCCTTTACCATAAAAGATACAGAAAAAAGTCTTATAGCAAAATTGTACACAATTGCCGCCTGCATGTTTCTAAAATATTTTTCATCACTAGGGACGTGCTGTATTCCAGTGGCGTATCAAACTTGCATTTTTTGAAATGGAACACCCTATATTTTATTACTGATTTAAGTACTTAAAAAGTACTGACTTAAAAAGTACTTATTTTTTTATGTAACATGTTATACCCCTAACTTTAACGATTTCGCTGTTATAACCTATTTTCGGCAAAATTTGACAGTGTTTCGAAATTTTTTTGGACAGAAACTACATCGTGTAGGCGGCTAAGTTTTGGACTGAGGCATAGGTTAAGAGTCCTTTTTACCTAAGCGCAACTTTTTTACATTATGGTGTATATATATATGATTATAGTTGCAAGAAACAAGACGATATTCTTGCTTAGTCAATTCCTATTTTGGTCTTTAGTTAGTTCTCGTCGACACTGTGCAGCGGCGCTGCTTGTTACCTTCAAATTATTGATTTACCGCCCGCCAAGATACAGACTTTATTTACAAAAAATATGATTTCATTTTTTGAGGTAATGTTTAGAAGTAACTTATCTAGAAAACTGTCGGTTTACTTTTTCCATAAACCGTTTTGTTCCAGAGTAAAAAAATAAAACAGATTCGGGCAATAATCGATGCAAAACATCTAATCTTTAAACAATCGGTATTCCGTTGCTATAAACTTTTTCAAAAAAATAGCCCGAACATTTTATAGATAAAGGTCTAAATTTATAAAACAGTTCTTTAAAAAAATATTTTTTTTTGAAAAACAACTTGAGTTTTTATGGCGGGCGCCCTTATGGAAATTTACATTGGGTGCAGTGGGTACAGAAGACTCTTAAGACCTCTTCTACAGTCACATAATTTTTTTTAGGCACTTTATCGAAAAAATAAAATTTTTTATTGATCTTCGCCAAATGTCAAATTTTTAAAAAATTTCAAATCGCACCCCCCTAAAATTTGTTAAAATCGGTCAAACGGTTAAGCAGGATATTGCAAAAACAATTGAACGCCCCACGCCAGCTTTGTTTTTGAAATAACAGAGTTTTTGTTTTTACGAAAACGATAGATAAACTGGTTCTCTTTAAAAATGTGAAAAAAAATTTTAGTTTATTATGCGAAATTTAAAGAAAATACAATTTTAAAATTTAAGATGGCAGTTACGCCCTCTGTTGGTCATTTTTAGAACTTGAAAATATTTCCCGCGATTCTTCATGACCGATTTACCCAATAATTTTTTAACCCCTAAGTCATATGACGAACGGTTCTCGAGATATGGCCGAGGAACAGTCTTATTGGGTCACAAGAAATGCGATTATTTGGATTGTTCACAATCTCGCCCTTCTCCACTCATACACCAACACACACCTCGGTGCTTCCTTCTGGAGTTTCGTATTCGAGATTCGGAGAGGTACATACGTGAAAATCTGGTGGGAGAGTGGAATTCTTACTAGAATCTTCGAAGAGAATCTATGCCGGTCGAGCGCTACATTTTTAAATTGCGTATTGACTTCTTAGCCGAACCTTCAGTGCAAATTTACGTATCGTGAGCGCAGAAAATTATAGATCGCATAAAAACAGCTAAGCAAAACAGCGAAACAGAGAGGTAAATCTTCTGGATTGGTCTCTCTACCCACATCCACCGTCCACAAACACTAAAGAAACGTTTTTAAAACAGGGTTTCAAATCGTCCGTAGCAAATGTAATTCAATGGTACAGACCAATATTCAAGATTTTTCGAAATCTTTAAATGAACAAAAAATGTTTGTCATTACTGAAAAGTGGCTTGCAACCGGTCGGCTCGGGTTGATTCTTTGCGTGAATGGACATTGGGTTATTTATAGGTATAAGATTGTCTTCTCAAATTTTTTGAAAAGCAAAGTTGTACAAAAATGCTGCTGCGCCGCCTCACCTCGCGTAATTTTATGTCAGAAATCTTCGCGGGCATACGTCCTACCACCCTAAAAAAAGTGGTGAAATTTGCATTTCTGCTTTAATTTTTCTCTCTTTGAAAAGGTTTTGGGGTAGCTATGCCCTTTACGAAATAGCAAATTTTTTTCAAAATTCCTACCACACCTCTAAATGGCTCTGTAACTTTGTAAACTTGTCAATTTGTCTAATGAGGTGCTAGAAATGTACACACCGTGCTCTCCTCTTTGTAATGTTTGAATGATCCCCTCCGCCCTTCAAGGAATGTTTGATTTTTAGGGGAGCAATTAAATATTTGTAAGTGTTTCTTAAATTAACAAACATTATACTGTACCTTTTCATCGACCAAAAGCGGATGCCCAATCTCTTGTGGTACAAAAACGACACACGCAACAGTGCCATCCCACGAACAAGCCAAAAGATTCATACCGTTACTGCTCCACGATATATCCAGAACGCTATCATCAAACAAATCTTTAATAACAACCAATGGACGCTTTAACGAGGTTAGCCACACGCTTAAGGACCGATCTCGCGAACCAATGGCACAACAGCAATACTGTTGCGTTTTTGGGCTGCTCGGCAGTAATTTTTTGAGAATATTCGAATTGAAACGGACACACGTGATTGCCTTTCGGTGACCTACGAAATCCTTGTCTTGCTTCCATCCGTCGCGTTCAATTATCTGAGCGGTGGGACCGCCTCCGTTCATAGCATGCGCGGATACCAAATACTGACCATCTGGTGACCAAGAGAGGCGCAAAACGTGCGTAGTAGCGGAGCAGTCTACGAAACAATCGGTTACGACTTCCTGCTGGGCCCAGTCCGCTGTGCGCCACACACGCAATGAACGGTCGTCCGACTGGCTCGCCAAGTACTTGCCAATAGGATCCCATGCCACTCCCTATACACCCAAAGAAACTAACGTCAATGAAATCAATGTAAGTGGCTCACCTTAACCATTCCAGTGTGCGATTTAAGCACGGCGACTTTTTCAGGTAACTTCTGAACATTCCAGATTATTACTGTATTATCAACGCTACCCGAAGCGAGCCATCCGTCGTGCGGCGCCCAGGCTAAATCTAAAACGTCGCCGCTATGCGAATTTAAGGTGGTAACGCACTTCCACGTTTCCACATTGATTTTTCCACCGCCGCCGAACACCGATGAGCTACCCTCGCCCGTTAGTTTCCATATCATAACCAACTTGTCGTCGCCGCCCGATGCGAGCAGGTGTCCTTCGCAACTCCACCGGACCACGTTAACACAACCTAATCGAAACTTGTCTTAGTAAACCTTAAAACACAACGTATCGTACTTAAGTGGTTGTCCATTTGGCACAACATTTTGGGTATCTTCGGATCGAGTTCGTCAGCTTCATTTAGAACTGGTGCTAAGTTCCATATCACAACTCGACCTCCTTGGCCGCCTTGTCCTCCTGTAGCAAACTTGTTACCTTTCGGATGAATGTCCACAGAGAAAATCGGTTTGCTATCTAAAATGTGTTTAGGTAAAGGCATGAAATTGTTTAATTATGGCTACCTTCGTGTGTAACCCAAGTAGGTTTTAATAGTTTCATTTTTACTTTACTACTTCACAGTTTTTGCATATTTGCTCTTAAAAAATCACCGCTTTTTTTGCAATCGAACCAGGCAAAAGCATCTAACGAAAATCAAATACTTCACATAAGAACTACCAAGAGCTGCTGCGCGTGAACTACACCAAGGGCATAAGAACTACATTTTCAATAAGAACTACTTATATTGTCTTAAGTAAACAATTTTTAGTTTTATTTTTGAATGCTCGTTGGTTGCAGGTGATGAACTCAACAACCCATCATACAGGGAGATTTATTTATAAGTAGAGTGGTGGTGCTTCATTATGGAAATGTTGTCCTTAGGTACCCCTCGTATTGTACGTATGGGTATCTGTTTATATTTTTATGTATATAATAGAGCAATTTAAGTATGTATATACCGGGAAGAGGTAATAGTATTTTACATTATTAGCCAGGTAAGTGAGTTTTTACTGGCGATAGGAGAAGTTGACTGGCGAGCCGTTAGGCGAGCCTGTCATCTTCTAGAGCCAGTAAAAGCTATTACCTGGCGTATAATGTACAATATTTTATTTGTTACTCATTTGTAAACAATAGTAAACGTAAATAATTAGTTCTTAAATTGATCTCAAAGAAATGTCTAAAATATCATGTTATCCATGTAACAGAGACTTCGCATTAATTCTGGCCAATGAAATGACTAGATTACTAACTTGTAAAATTTTTACACGTCAGCTGTCAGTTTTACAAGTCAGTAGCGTTTAAAGATGACGTTTACCCGTTTGCGTTTTGTCTTGTTAATCAACGTTTACAACTGAGTAACAAATAAAATATGTTTTATATCCTCATGGAATTCTACAGGTGAGTACAGATTTCAATGACCTCATTTTTTTATATCAGCCACGTGCTAATAAACATGCCTTTTTCTTCATTTCGTTTTTAACGATCTGCCTCGTCGTCTTTTCCCTGCGCGTCTTCGTTTATATATAAAAAAGGATTTCCCTGACACAAACCGCAGCATCACAGCGTGTTTACATACGTAACTACGTAACTAGTTACTAGAACTATCAGTAGGTATTGATGCGTGATATAGGCCACACTATAACCTTGATACAAAAACGCACGGGAACTTTTTGAAGGTATTGTATGTATACTTTTTAACAAGCCCCCGTAGCATGTACGTGTACCTGCAAGATACCACATTCAACATCGGATTATGCGGCATGCGCTTGTTGACAAAGAAATCTCTCCAACATCTACACAACACCGCATCCAATTAATTTTGTGTTATAACCAAATAATAATTACTGGGACGTTGTGTAACTTAATTCAACAAATTCTATCACTCAAAAAAGTAAGTATACTGTATATATCTAATGTCTGGTTGCCCTGAGATCTTAACTCTGCATTGTTTGATACCAATTTTGGTAGATTTTTATGACATATTATTGGGTTTAGTTTAGGTATGGATGGTGATAATGACACGCTACTCATTAAAATTGAACCAAAACAAGAAGAAGAGATCCATTCCTTTCTTCAGGAACACATTTCAGTAAGCAACGAAGTTTTGGTGACAATAAAGAATGAAGTTACCATTAATACAGCATGTTCTAAATCTGATAATAAAGAAGTACAGCAACACTCTGACTTTCAACATCAGCTTTTATCCGAATGTAAAACGGGATCTAAAGAATTTAAATGTGGCACTTGTGATTATGGAACAAATGATAAACATTATTTCAAACAACATCTTTTAATACATACAGTTTTAAAGGAATTTAAATGTGGTTTTTGTAATTATGAGACAAATGATAAAAAGAACTTTAAACGACATGGTTTAACACATAAAATTTCTAAAGCTTTTAAATGTGCTAATTGTAACTATGGGACAAATTTTAAATTCCATCTTAAAACACACCTTTTGAAACATAAAGTTTCTAATGATTTCAAATGTGCTACTTGTGATTATGGAACAAATAATAAACAGACATACAAACGACATCTTTTAATACATAAAGTTGGTACGGATTTTAAATGCGCTGCTTGTGATTATGCGACAAATGTTAAACGCACCTTCAAACGACATCTTTTAATACATAAACTTTCAAAGGATTTTAAATGTACCGTTTGTGATTATGGAACAAATTATAAACGGAACATCAAACGACATGTTTTAATACATAAAATTTCAAAAGATTTTAAATGCGCTAATTGTAACTATGAGACAAATTTTAAATCCCATCTTAAAACACACCTTTTAAAACATAAAGTTTCTAATGATTTTAAATGTGCTGTTTGTGATTATGGGACAAATAATAAACACACCTACAAACAACACCTATTGAAACATAAAGTTTCTAAGGATTTTAAATGTGCTGTTTGTGATTATGGGACAAATAATAAACACACCTACAAACGACACCTATTGAAACATACAGTTTCTAAGGATTTTAAATGTGCTGTTTGTGATTATGGGACAAATAATAAATACACCTACAAACGACACCTATTGAAACATAAAGTTTCTAAGGATTTTAAATGTGCTAATTGTGATTATGGGACAAATAATAAACACACCTACAAACAACACCTATTGAAACATAAAGTTTCTAAGGATTTTAAATGTGCTGTTTGTGATTATGGGACAAATAATAAACACACCTACAAACGACACCTATTGAAACATACAGTTTCTAAGGATTTTAAATGTGCTGTTTGTGATTATGGGACAAATAATAAATACACCTACAAACGACACCTATTGAAACATAAAGTTTCTAAGGATTTTAAATGTGCTAATTGTGATTATGGGACAAATAATAACACTTGCTGTTAATAAGGCATCTTTAAATCCACGAAAGTTTCGGAAAAGAATTTTGTAAAATTTGTATGAGTGTTAGAATGGTGGATTTATGGTAAAAATAGAAACTCATCTTCAAACAACATCTTTTAATTATGTAGGTACAATAAACTATGTAATTAATGCTAGGAACTCATGGTGCTGGAGTGGTGCAGGTGTCGAAAGATGGAGCCGGCCTGAATACTATTATAAGTATTGTAATCCAATGTTTACTTGTAGAGCATCCTGTATATAATGAAAGTAGTTAAGATCACTTGTTCTGTGGTTAAGATGTACCTTTTGCTTTGAGATAACGATGTCGGTTTTAGTCTTGTACTTGCATTACAAATAAAGAGTGTGTTTGCTTATATTCTTGTCTGTCATATCAAAGTAATTAAAGTGCGTAAAGATAATAGGTTATGGGCCCAGATAGGCGTAAAGTATAAAGAAAGAAAGAATAGAACTAAGTACCTAACCTCAACACCACGTGCAAGTACATAATGGATTCGGAGAACGTAAAGTTTATGTTTTCCAGGTTGGATAACAATAACTACCAAAATTGGAAGTTTCGTGTGAAGATGGTTCTGGTCCGTGAAGGAAATTGGTCAGTGATTGAGGATCCATTACCGGCAGCACCGGTAACTGTGGAATGGAGTAAAAAGGACCAAAAGGCACAAGCAACTATATCTTTAAGTGTGGAGGACAATCAAATAATTCACATCTGTAAAAGCGGATCTGCAAAGGAGATGTGGGAATCCCTACAGAAGGTGCACGAAAGAAACAACTTAAGTAATAAGCTGTATTTGTTAAGGAAGTTGTATCAATCTAAGCTGGAGAATAAATCAATGTCCGAGTATATTAAGGACACCTTGGAGTTAGTGGAGAAACTACGTGGAGTCGGGGAGATCGTAAAGGATTTTCATGTAGCAGCATTGTTACTTGGAGGATTGCCCGAAAATTATTCCACATTGGTTACTGCACTAGATACAAGACCCGATGAAGAGTTAACATTGGAGTACGTAAAGGGGAAATTGATGGACGAATATAAACGGAGAGAAGATAGTACTTCCAGTGAACGAGCTCTCAACACAAAGTTTAAGGGGAATGACAGTAAAGCCAAGCAGATGCGGGAATGTTTTCATTGTCACAGGAAGGGGCATTACAAAAAGGATTGCTATTTCTACAAAAAGGACAAGAAAAAAGAAGGTCAACAAGCCAAACTAGCAGTCGATGAGGGTGAGTCTGATTCAAATTTTTGCTTTAATACTTTTGGCAGTAAAGGCACTGTGAGTGAGCCTGAGTGGTACATAGACTCAGGGGCTACTAGCCATATGTGTAACGATTTAAACAGTTTCAAAAATTTTGAATGTACTGAATCGGAAAAAATAACGGTTGCTAATGGACAACACATGGCAGTTAAGGGTAAAGGGAGCATTTACTTAAAAAGTGTTGTAAATGGCGAATTAAAAAGTTTAAAGTTTTCTAATGTGCTGTATGTACCTACATTAGAAAATAATCTGTTGTCTGTGTCGAAAATAACTAAAGTCGGTTATAAAATGAACTTTAATGGTTTGAACTGTAGTATAGAGAAAGATGGAATGATTGTGTTAACTGCTGAATGTATAAACGGTTTATACAAGATAGATATGTTTAAGGATAAGGCATGTTTAACCTTTACATCCTGTGAAAAAGAGAAATGCATACATATTTGGCATCGCAGGTTCGGCCATAAGAGCCCGGATGGCATCAATAAATTGTTAGAAGGGGATTTAGCAATTGGCATAGAAATAAGTAAATGTAAAAATGTTAAGAAATGTACGGCATGTATAGAGGGTAAACTCACGAGGAAGCCGTTTCCTCATAAATCGGAAACGAGATCCAAGCAAGTTCTTGATTTAATACACAGCGATGTATGTGGGCCTATGAAAACTGCAACTGTGAGTGGGAAATTTTATTTTGTATCATTTATTGATGACTACTCCAGATATACAAAAATCTACCTGTTAGCTTCCAAAGATGAGGTAGCTGTAAAACTTAAAGAATTTCTTGCTGAAGTTAAAAATCAATTTGGAAAATATCCAAAGGTTCTGAGGTCAGATAATGGCGGAGAGTACACGGGGGAGGCAGTTCAATCAGTTTTAAAGAGAAATGGAATACAATTCCAGTCAACCGTACCCTATTGTCCCGAACAAAATGGGGTCTCTGAGCGAAAAAATAGAACGTTGGTAGAGTCAGCACGTTGCATGCTTCTGGATGCCAAGTTACCTTATAAATATTGGGGTGAATCGGTAGTAACTGCAAATTATTTAACGAATAGGTTCCCAACTCAAGCTAAAGATAAAACGCCGTATGAATTGTGGGTTGGTAAAAAACCTAACTTAGAACATTTAGTTACGTTTGGGAGTCGAGCTTTCATTTATGTCCCAAAGCAAAAGAGGTCAAAGTTAGAACCAAAGGCTAAAGAGGGAATAATGATCGGATACAGTGACACCAGTAAAGGCTACCGAATACTAGATCCAATCACAGACAAGGTGACAATCAGTCGTACCGTCAAGTTTAATGAATATTTAAATGAGCCATTTCAAGAGGTCAAAGGCTGCAACTCACAAACAACGACAGTAATGTATCAATCGAATAATGATTTGAGGGAAACTAAGGAACCAGAACAGAATATACAAAAGATAATGGAAACAGAAGATGCAGAGGTGGAAATAAAAGATGAGGAGACAATACCTGTTGAATTTTTGGATGACACAAGTGATGGGGAAGAGGGAGATGACGGAAATGCGAAGGAAGTCGCGAAAGACACCGAAACCCAGATAGTCACTAGAGCAGGAAGAATATCGAAGAAAAAATGTTTTAAGGACTACGTCACATACAACGTTTTTGACAACATCATGCCAGAAATGGAATCCTATGATCCGAAGTCCGTAAATGAAGCCATGTCGCGACCTGATCACCTGAAGTGGAAGAACGCCATGGAAAGAGAGTATGAATCCTTGACCAAAAACCAAGCATGGACACTCGTGGATTGCCCGGAAGATAAAACAATTGTGCAAAATAAGTGGGTGTTTTGTGTAAAAAAGGCCTCTAGTGGTGTGCGGTATAAAGCGCGTTTAGTGGCTAAAGGATTTACTCAACAATATGGTATTGACTATTTAGAGACTTTTTCTCCAGTTGTCAGAAATGCAACGATAAGAATTTTATTTTCAATGGCTGTAAATTTAAATCTTCTAATTTATCATTTAGATGTAGAAACTGCTTTTCTCAATGGCAATATAGACCAGCAGATCTATATGGCACAGCCTGAAGGTTTTGTTTGCAAGAAAGACCCAAATAAGGTATGTTTACTTAAAAAGGCTATATATGGTCTTAAGCAGTCGTCAAGAATATGGAACTTAAAAGTTGAAAAAGTATTAGTCAAAATGAATTTTAAGCAATCTGCTTACGAACCGTGTATATTCTTTAAAATTGTTGATAGTTCCATTGTAATAATTGCACTATATGTAGATGATTTCTTGATTTGCTCAAGTTCTTCAAGTTTAAAGGAGGATGTAAAACAAGATTTATCAAAAGAGTTTAAGTTAAAAGATTTAGGGTTAATAAATCATTTTCTTGGTCTGAATGTTGATTGTAAAATCAGTAACGTAATTCGAGTAAATCAAAAAGATTATATTTTAGAACTACTGAAAAAATTTCACTTAACAGATGCTAAACCTGTTAACACACCAATTGAAATTGGATTAAGGTTGAAACCAAATCATAATGAGAAACCTAATGTCCCATATCAGAACTTAATCGGCTCACTAATGTATCTAGCAGTTCATACAAGACCTGATATTGCTTACAGTATAAGTTACTTAAGTCAATTTAATTCAACATTTGATATGGAGCATTGGAAACATGCAAAACGTGTGCTAAAATATTTAAAAGGGAGTATGCATAAAAGTTTAGTTTTTTGTAAATCAAATAAACCAATCACAGGTTATGTAGATGCAGACTTCTCAAATGATGTAAATGATAGAAAGTCATATACAGGCTATGTTTTTAAATGGGCTAATGCTGCCGTATCTTGGGAATCTAAAAAACAAAGTTGTGTAGCTCTCTCAAGTACTGAAGCAGAATACATAGCAATGACTGAAGCAGTAAAAGAAGCTGTTTTTATTAAGGGTCTTATTGGTGAGATTTTAACTGTTGAAAAACCTTTCATTATTTACAATGATAGTCAGAGTGCTCAAAAGCTTATCAAGAACCCTGTCTATCATAGTCGAACTAAACATATTGATACTAAGTATCATTACATACGCGAAATTATAAATAAAGGCATTGTCAAAGTAGATTATGTACCAACTGATAAAATGATAGCTGATGTTTTGACCAAAGGTTTGCCAAGTGACAAACATCGTTTATGTATTGAACAATTTAATTTAAATTAAACATTGTATTAAGAGGTGGTATTATAAGTATTGTAATCCAATGTTTACTTGTAGAGCATCCTGTATATAATGAAAGTAGTTAAGATCACTTGTTCTGTGGTTAAGATGTACCTTTTTGCTTTGAGATAACGATGTCGGTTTTAGTTTTGTACTTGCATTACAAATAAAGAGTGTGTTTGCTTATATTCTTGTCTGTCATATCAAAGTAATTAAAGTGCGTAAAGATAATATCTACTGCCTCCTCAGAACGATCCTTTTCCTCGCTAAGACGTTTGAAAGACTATTTGCGCAATTCTACTGGTCAAGAGCGACTAACAGGACTTGCTCTGTTAAGCATTCACAGAAATATTAAAATTGATACCGAGGATGTGGTAAATCGTTTTGCGAGGGAAAAGCAAAGAAATATTCAATTGTTACTATGATTACTATTTGTAAAATTTTAAATTGTTTGTTTTTTCTATAACCTGATATTTTCATATAATACACATACACCTATTAAAAAATGACAGTTTTTTTAAATCCCTAATTTATTATCAAAATCAAATTCCATGGTTTAACCTCGGGTTTAACCCCCCCCCCCCAAATTTTTGTCCAGATACGGCCCTGTGGGTATGCACGGAATCTTTGGACCAAGTCCTTTCAAATGAGCCCTATATCGCCAAAATAGATGCAGTGGTTTAGGAGTACGTGAGACGGACAGACGTACGGACGTCAAAGTGCAGCCAATAGCGATTTTTCACTTTGAGGAAAATACGCTAAAAATTACGAAATTATGACGAATTGTAATTGTACTTAATTTTAATCTTTTAATATTAATACACTCCAAAACTGACCTGACTTAACAACCCATTTCCTGGAAATCATCTCATCCTTTGGAAAACGGTGGTGTCTCAAATTCGGATCGTCTCTTTTCGTTTTGCCACAATTAAAAAAAGAACATTTGTTGCCTCGCACCGCACGATTCATATTTCTAGATAACATACACACTTTTTAATTGGATGACCTTTGTCAAAGAGAGTAGGTACTCTTTGCCTTTGTAGTGCAAAACACAAAGTAGTGCAGCAACTTACGAAGACATATAAGCGACTGTGGCATGGACTAAGGATTAATATAACATACATAATGGCATTATTTATAAATGAATAACAAAAATAGTAGGTACTGGTACATATTAATCAAATGATCTATATAACAAAATGCGGAAATGAAACATGCATGTAAACAGTTTATAATTCGTCCAGCATCATTTTATCCTAATGCCGATAAGGTTTCTTGTGTTCTAGTCTAGTTCTAGTCTAGACTAAAATTTGAAATAAATAATTGGAATCTGGTAGAAATCAGTGGGTAACCAGAAAGCGATCTTGTTTGTGATTGTACAAGTTTGGGTGACCACTTAGAAACGACAAACGGGCGGTTATGTTTTGTTCATAGTTATCGAAAGTGTTTTTCAATTTTCAATGCACTAATTTATATTAAATGCAAACCCTAACAATATGTGCATAGACTAAAGTCCATGATATGTGTATAGCTGATGTTTTTCGTTAGAATTATACATGTCGTTTTCGGTAGATTCCGATTTTTATCCGGCGCGCGTTTTGTCTTTCTTTACAGTGTTCTTTAGCTTTAACTGACATAAAACACTAGCGTCGTTGTTATACAGTGGCTGCGTCCCAAAGCTCAGATAGTTTGCGTCCTTTTTAAGAGCGGTAAGAAATTAACATTGCAGTAAAAGTCTTGGGTTTTTTTAGTCTATGCTATTCGTAAGGCTCATATGGCGTTGCTAAACATCATGTGTAATTTGTAAAGGACCGAAATTTGATGTTTTCTTTTTTATGTAATTTTGTGTAGTGTGTATTATAGTGTGCTAGTTATACATAATAGGCAAATGAAAAATAAGGAACTATTTTTTGCTTCAACCGAAATCGCGCAAACTTAGCCACGTCCAGATGTAGATATTCTGTGGTAACCTGTCTTTGATGGGTATTATTTTGAATTTTTAACGGTTTGTAAAAGTTAAAGTTTGTCTTTGCCCTGCTGATAAAGCAAAAAGCTTGGCAAAGACGTGATGGACCCAAGCACAAACGAATATGTATGTAACCATTCTTGATGTATTTATACAATCAACTTATCTAGCACCTTCGTTGCAAGTTTCTATGCCCGTAGTACTACTGCATGTACTTTTCTTAGGAATTAGTTGTTAATTGAACTTGATAGTTGCTTGTATAGATGGTAAAGTTAAATTTTGTAGGTTAAAACACGAGAGAAAACTGAACGGAAACAAGATGCTGACGATGAGTGTGATAAAAGCTCTCCAACTTTTGTAGAGAAACCGTCTTCTCGAAGAGTCAGTTTTGCTAGTATGAATTTCATCAAGTAATGTATATAAATTACATTTTGTACATTACAAATTAATTGTTGTAGGCAATTTGCCATAGACCCGGAAAAGAATACAATATGGGATGCGACATACGAAGAAATGCTCACGTTAGATTCAACGCATTCTTCTGAAAATGTGCATGGTACACTGTCTGCGCGGCAAACAGGCAGTTATAATTCGGATATTAGAAAAGGTATGCATAAACACTATATTTTAACCTTGATTTTAAATATTCGCTTTCATCTAAAACACAGTTGTTCGAGATGAGAAATGTGGCGCGTTCTTGCAACAACTTCTAACTTTCTGAAATTTTGCTTAGTGGCTAGTAACGATTTATCCACAACTTGTGTTTTTATTATAAAATGTAAAAAGTTGTAGATGACGAAAGGTACTATTTGTTACATTTTATACTACAAGCGCAGTCTTACTGGCCACCAACAATTAATAAAACATCAAAATTTTTAGAAATTGGGAATTTGAGTAACTAAATACAGAGACAATCAAAGTCAGCTCCGAGGTCTGCTCAAAAACACAGTTTTGTAAGAAATTTTGTGTTTTTCTAGAACATGTTGGGGATGCAGAAGATTTTCAACTTGATTTAAACTTACCCAATATATGGATGGATAAGGAAAATATAAGTTTTCCAAACAATAGTCAAACGCAAAAAGGTAAGTATATTATATATATTTGAAATGTTGTTAGATCAGTGTTCTGCAAACTTTTTACGTAGTCCAGGCTAAATAGCTGTAAAATAATTTATTTTCAAAAAAAATTAGTTACCGGGCGAAACCGGGTTTTTCAGGCAGGTGAAATGAATAGAAATTGGGAAAAAATAATTAAAACAGCTGAATTTTTCCGCGGGTGAAATCACGGAGGTTGAAAGGAGTGGAAAGTGGTGTTTGGCAAATTGTGGCAAAACTATTAATTTTAGAGGAAAATGTTTAATGTAAAAGTTATCGAGATTAAAAAAATGAGCAACTTTTGTATCTGCACTATTTTCACATAACCTCCAATTTTCGTAGAAAAACTGGAAAAACTGTTTCTTTCGTTTTTTATTCTTAATTTTGCGAAAAAAGTCGTAGGGGTTTGAAATTTGCAGTAAATATAGTTTGTTGTATGATAAAAGAGGAGATAATTTTTTGGGCCCGTAAAGTCGAACCGTTTCCAAGATCTCACGATTTCTGAAAAAAACCACCTCTTTTTCAAGGGGATGAAAAATCTATTTTTTTTCGTCGTACAAAGGTGCGCGGGGTAGCAAAAGTTTCGTAAGGACTTACATTTTAATAATCAAAAACAAAAAATATCCCCAAAAAAAATTTTAAGAAAAGCGGCAAGAACTGGGGGAACAGTTTTAAGATATACCGTTTTTGACAGTAGGTAAATAGCTTTTTTTGCAACTAAATTAACGTTTTGGGTCCGCGCTAATGAAAAGTTTTTGAAATCTGTCTTTTCTCTCCTCTTTAATGTTGCTAAAATATTTTCTTTTGTTTCCTAGTGCCTTAGTGTAGTGCCCAACTGCCTTAACTAAAACATCTTTATTATTTCTTTTTTCTGCATTTTTACCGCAATGAAAGCAATTCGAAGTAAAATCGAATTCTTTTGCTTCCTGAACAATTTGTTTTTGTTCACTAACCTTCCTGCCTGTTTTGCAGCTGATGGGATTAAGCTGGGCCTGTTGATCTATAATTTGCAGGAATTATGAGTTCTAAAAAGAACACTAAACACTAAAAACAGCGCGTGTTGTCGCGGTTTTGAAGAAGGGAGATCCTACGCAAATCGAAAATTACCGACCAATTTCGTTATTGAGCGTATTCTCTAAAATATTAGAAAAAATTGTCTTCAACCGGATAACGTCTTTTATAACAAAGCTTAAAATTCTACCACCCGCCAGCATGGGTTCAGATCGGGTAAGTCAACAGAAACCGCATCATTTGATCTCTTGACACACAATTCGACACCAAAAAGTTTATCTCTATGCAACTTTTTGACATTACGTCAACCAAGAATTATATTGTTCTATATCCACTTTTGGCCGAAAATGAGATATAATCACCATTGGATGCAGAAAAATATACTTGTTCTATATCCGTTAAAATATTAAAGCTATCTTATTCGATAGCAGAGTTAGTGTGTTCTATATCCGAGACAAAATACAATTCCGAAGGATTATACTGTTCTATACCCTCTTAGAAATCTGGCGCGCTTGAATTTGTTCTATATCCTACTTATTGTATGGTAGTTTTCTACCATAATTACTTTGTGCAATATCCGTGTAACGAATGTGGGGATATCAGATACAAAGGCAAACGCGTTGCAGGAAATGTTGCCGCAAATGCCAAAAAATGAGCAAGAATTCTACAAAATTCTGTTGTCCAAGAACAAAACAGAAAAAGAATGCAAAAAAATTAAAGAACCTAACAAATAAAAGAACGTGAAGTATCACTATAATCGCCTATTATTTTGTCAGGGTTTTGTTTACTTTTATTATAACAATATATTAAAAATTTCAGATGATTGGTTCTTTTATCACGTTGAATCTTAACAAATAAATTCTGCTTAAAGTGTTCTATATCCTTACTTTTCATAAAATTTCATGTAGAATGTCCTATATCCAATTTGTTTTTTGTTTTACAGCTGAAATCTATGTAGAGTTTTGATGTCATACCTTTAGTATTATTCTAGCAGTGGAAACATGTACCTAAAATAAAAATACTAGTGTTCAGCCAGTAAGGTATGTCAATATCTTAATGTCCATCTTTGAAGTTGATTTTCTTAAAACTACAAAAAGTGGATTTAGAACAGTATAATTCTTGGCTGACGAATTTAGTCGTGCATTTGATACAATCAAAAGTGATAACACCTGTTACAAGTTAGACCAACTAGGAATTAGAGGTCAATTTCTTGAATGGATTAACTCATTCCTATCAAACAGACAGTTATACGTGGACATTGACAGTGTACACTCAAACAAATTTAAGGTTAATCTAGGCGTCGCCCAAGGATCGATACTGGGCCCTCTGATATATTTACTATACGTGACAGACTTAAATACTCATGTGAAAAGTGGCAAAATCATTAGTTATGCTGACGACACAACCATTGTGGTAGCAAGAGACTCCCTCTTGGATTTAAAGCTAACAGCTCAAACTGCAAATGAAAAATTTAAAAACTGGTGTAACTCGAATCAATTAGTGCTAAACTAACAAAACTGTCTGTATGTATTTTGGTAAATCCAAGCAAGAAATTATGTCTTCCACTCCTAACGTCAGCCAGTATACCAAGTTTTTAGGTACCCTTATTGACGACGATTTATCATGGACATGGTTTTTCCGGTTTTTCTAGGAAAATTGGAGGTTATGTGTAAATAGTGCAGATACAAAAGTTGTTCATTTTTTTATTCTCTATAATAATAATTTTTTTTAATAATAATAATAATAACTTTATTAGATCGTAGACCAAAGTATGTGGCATTGACCAAGTCGGTAAAAAAAAAACATAGTTCTTAACTTTTATATTGAACATTTTCGCCTAAGATTAATACATAGTTTTGTCACAAATTGCAAAATACCAGTTTCCACCCCTTTCAACCCCCGTTATTTCACCCGCGGAAAAATTCAGCTGTTTTAATTATTTTTCCCCAATTTCCGGTAACTAATTTCTTTTGTTAAAAAATATTATATAGCTTGGACTAATGTTCAAAATACACATACGAAATCGGGAAATTTAATTTTAAAATACAAAAGGGGTATTTAATGAGAAATGAGAAAAGGCGGTCCAAATTTTTGGTAATGGTTGACAAGCTGCTTTCATTTCTTCATCGATCGTCTTCCGACGTTTTCGCTTTTGTGTTTTTATTGTACTGTAACTAGGGATGGGCGATAACTGTTTTCACCTATCGATAAGTATCGGGTACTTACCTATCGATATATTTTACTTATCGATATGCCGATAATTATCGAAATATCGATGGTTATCGATACACCGATAACTATCGAAAGATCGATAACTGCCGCCATATCGATAAGTTTCGGTATATCGATAGTTCTCGTTATGGCGATAGTTTTTAATATATAGGTATCGATATAATATTACCGATAATTTTTTTGAAAGCGTGTCTAAAACTGCATGAGTTTACTTTTATATTTTGGCGAAAGAGCCCGACAAGACAAGAGGGCTCTTTTAACAAAATATGAAAATAACCCAATGCAGTTCTTGCAACTTTAATGGAGTTACCATATTAACTGTGCAATTATCGCAGTGCTCTTTAGCTTTCTACAATGCAATTACCGCTGTAATTAAGCGGTAATTGCACGCCTCATTTGAGAGAAATATTCGACGTATCGATAGTTATCGACAGGGATAGTTATCTTATCGAGTTTTATTAATAAAATCCATTTTCCGGTTTATTCTGGTGTAAAGTGACTATTAATAGTTACTCGCCGTTTCTTTGCTACCTTTATCAAGAGTTTTTTGTTAGATTTCGTAAATGTCAATCAATTGAAACTGTATATCTAAATTTGAAGTGTTCTTAGCTTTTTCTGTTTTTTTATGACTGGTCCTCTGTAACCATCAATCAGATACCGATACATAGGCCATGATTACACCCTTTGATTGTCTTCTTTATTTTATCTAAAGAGTAGCCATTTTGATGCAACATTTTGTTCAAGCTTTTGAAGTGCTTCTTTTTTTGAGCAATCGTCAGTAAGACGAAAAGATCTATTTTCTAAAGATTTTATTACTGCGTTTATTTGGCATGGATGATGATGTGACGTAGCGCTTCTTTTGAGAAAGGGAGCAAAGTTAAGTTTCCGAAACGTCGAGCAACTAAAAATAGTAAATTTACACGAGAGTAAACCCGAAAATGGATTTTATTAATAAAAATAGTAGCGCTCGTTGAAATCTCAACAATAACATAATTTTATCGTACCAATAGTTATCGACATATCGATATATCAATAGTTATCGACATATCGATATATCGATAGTTATCGACATATCGATATATCGATAGTTATCGACATATCGATAGTTATCGACATATCGATAGTTATCGACATATCGATAGTTATCGACATATCGATAGTTATCGACATATCGATATATCAATAGTTATCGACATATCGATATATCGATAGTTATCGACATATCGATATATCGATAGTTATCTACATATCGATAGTTATCGACATATCGATATATCGATAGTTATCGACATATCAATATATCGATAGTTACCGACATATCGATATATCGATAGTTATCGACATATCGATATATCAATAGTTATCGACATATCGATAGGTATCGATATATCGATACTTATCGATAAGTATCGATAGTTATCGATATATCGAATAACTATCGATACCTATCGATATATCGAAAAAAATTCCCATGCCTAACTGTAACATAAATTTAAATACGTGATTTATTTATGCTATTTGCATATGTTTATCTTTACTAAAAGGGTCTGTTGTTAAAATGTCAACGAAATATCTTCATAAATAACAAAGTTGGTATTTAGCAGTCTTTGCAAGCGCCCGACTGAGTTTTACCATATGCAGTATATTTGCCTTTAGTAGAAGCACCTTTGATTAAAATTTCAAAAAATATGTCCAGAAATGAAAAAGGTAGCATTGGGCGGTCTGCGCATGCGCATATTTCATTTTTGCTATATGCGAAATTTGTCTTTACTAAAAGCATCTTTGGTTAAAATTTGAAAAAAATATACGTATCCACAAATAAGAAGTTAGAATTTCGCAATCTGCGCATGCACACAACCAATTTTTAGCGCATTTCCACAAAAATTAAAAAAATGCGCAATTGTGACCACTTTGTCCGTCCGCTCGTTCGTTGAGACGCTACTAGTTCTTTATCTTAAGAGCTATTGTTCTACTTTTTTCGCTATTTGGTTCGTTATGGTGTCGAGGCTTGCACCAAGGAAGGCATTTTTTCTGCGTATTACTAAAAAAGTTATTTTAAAAAACCAAAATACCGTTTTTTACATGTTCCATAATTTTACACTTTTGCCGTTTATTAACGATCCTTATAGTTTTGTATTGCTGTCTGTCTGTTGGTCTGTCCGTCTGTTCCTTTGTCTGTCATGAACTGAATTGCATGAAATTCAATATGGGCATAGATGTAGCCATATAATACGCAATGCCAAAAGTTAATATAATAACTTTATTCCCTATAAAGACAAATATAACACGTCACAGGATCGTCAAAATAACATCAAAGCAAAAGAAAAACATGTTTGGAAAATTAAAATGTGTCTTCAAAAAATTCAAGTAAGCTGTAGTAAGGTTTTAACATTAGTATATTCATGACCTTCTTCTTAAAAAGATTGACGTGATGGATCTTCAATGTAGCGGGTAGGTGATTATATACTTTAATCGGCATGCAACGCGTGCTGTTCGCAGTGAGAGCAAGTCTATGTTGCGGGGGTCTTACATTGTTACATCTTGTATCATATTTATGTGCTGCGTGGTTTTCAAGAATCAAATTTCTTTTGCGTTTGTGTACATATGTGGCGGCTTCTAGGATATACAGAGAGATAACAGTCAGAACGCCTAGATCGACAAACAGATCCCTGCATGAGGTACGACTTGCCACTTTGAAGATCGCTCTGATCGCACGTTTTTGGTAAAGTAGTGCCCGATTAACATGAGGACTGGGTCCCCAAATGATAATACCATAACGCAATCGGGATTCAACATCTGCAGTGTAAACAGCTTTTAGTGCCGGGATGCCAACTGCGTCTCTGAGGAATCTGAGCTTATAAATAGATTTAGAGATAGTTCGACTGATAGCTTCGATGTGCAACTTCCATTTGAGATCATGGGAGAAGGTGATGCCTAGAATTTTAATGTTCTCCTGGTATTCGATTCCTGACCCTGCAATATTCAGGGATAATTGTTGGACACTCTGATGTGACGTTGAGGAATGAAAGCGTGTATATTTCGTTTTTTCTCTATTTAAGATTAGTTGGTTTCCTGTACACCATTTGAACATGGCATTTGAGATGGTATTGGAGTCCTTTTCAATGTTGCCTTGGCTGCTGCTGACGAGGACGGTCGTGTCATCTGCATAAAGAGTGACTGCGTTGATGGGGAGGTATGTAATTAGATCGTTAATATACAACGAAAATAAGAAGGGAGATAGGATCGCTCCTTGCGGTACTCCAATTCTGATAGGTAGCTCTTTGGAGTGATAATTTACTCGTCAGTCTTTAGAGAAATGCGGTATTCGTACGAATTGAGATCTGCCAGATAAGTAGGAGGCGAACCAATAAAGCGGGATTCCTCTAATACCATACTTCTTCAGTTTTAAAGTTAGGAGATCGTGGTTAACGGAGTCGAACGCTCTGCTGAGGTCGTAAAAGATTCCTATAGGAGCTGTTTTATTTTCTAGGTCGACAACTATATTGTTGTAAAGTTCCAAGTTCGCTGTAATGGTTGACATTCCTAATCTAAACCCATGCTGTTTATCGGAGATTAATTCGTGTTTATCGAAATATGTTGATATTCGTTGTAGCATAGCATGCTCCAGTAGTTTGCCAATGCAAGAACTAAGAGCAATCGGTCTATAATTAGAAATGCTAGAGGCGTCTCCTTTTTTAAAAATAGGGATTATGCCGGACTTTTTAAGACACAATGGAAATATTCCAGACGCAAACGATGCGTTGATAAGATGAGTTACTATCTTCGTAAGAGGTTGTTTTGCTTGTTTAAGTATATGAGGAGCAATACCGTCAGCGCCAGGAGAGCTGTTGTTATTTAGTTTATTAAAGAGGTCTGATACTTCGCACTCGGCATATGGGAATAGGTAAAAGGAATTTGCATGATTTTTAATGTGAGCTTGAGGGAAATCTGACTTAGGAATAGATTCAACTAGGTTGGTGGGTGTTGTCTGGAAAAATTCATTAAACAAGTTTGCCAATTTCGTGGGAGACTCGATCACTGATTGTTCAATATTGAGGGACATATTTTGGTGAATACTGGTACGCTGATTTGTGAGTGAATTGATTATTTTCCAAGTCGTCTTGCTAATATTTTTCCTGGCTCCCATTATCTTGGAGTTGAAGTAATTGAATTTTGTGTTTCTCAATAAAATCCTATGGGCTGCTTTCAGTGCCACAAATCGGTGTTTCAGACCAGGATACATTTTTTGTAGTATGTACAGGTCGTTTAGCTTTTGGTTTGAAGATATTATTTCACGAGTAATCCATGGCTTTGTTCGGAGTTGAGTCGAATCGATTCAAAATTTACAGTGCCCTTTTCGCATCTCGACCATTTATAAACCGAATTGCAAACTTTATAATATATAAAAGTATTTAAATGAAATTTGATAAAATGAAAATCTAACGCCAGTTTCAAAATTTGGTTTTGCGCATGCGCAGTGCCAACTTTTTAATCTATGGAAGCATTTAAATGAAATTTGATATATAATGGGCCGTATGAATAAAAGTAAGCAAATGCTTATACTTGCAAAACTCAAAGTAAATACTCGTAACTGCCCCTTCATACTGGTCTGTTTAGCAAGGTTTAGCAGCGCTGCACTGCGTCCTGTCCTTCTGCTTAGAAGGGCTGCTAAGTCGCCCAGTGCGAAGGAGCACTTACGAGTATTTACTTTGAATTTTGCAAGTATAAGCATTTGCTTACTTTTATTCATACGACCCATTGTAGGCGCTTGGAACAAAGGAAAATCTAATGTTAGTTTCAAAATTTAGATTTGCGCATGCGCAGTTCCAACTTTCTTATTTAGGAAAGCATTGAAATGTAATTGTTCTTATATACGGAAATTGAAGTAGGACGTCAAAAATGGATTGCACATGTGCAACGCTATCTTTCATATTTGTGGCCGGATTTTTACGATTTTAACAGAAGTTGCATCTTACAAATGGGAAATGAATGCAAGTGGAATTGCGCTTTCTGTAAATCGTTTACAATTACTTTTTAACTTGTTATTATATGCAACATGTTTGCATTTACTAATAACATAAGCTACCGAACTGAAATTCAAAAAGAACAAACTAAATGAATTGAAAACTGTAGGAGTAGGTAAGGCCACGGACGAGCGGGCAGAGAAAGTGGCTGTAATAGCGCACCCAACTTCGTTAAAAAATGCGTTAAAAACCTGCAAATGTTTACGTGATCTAAGTGCTGACATCTTTTCTACCTGAAACTACATGTCGACTGGACTATTACAGTATTACCTACAGTATTATAGGGTTTGTCATCTTCTTTAGTCAAATGATAAGATCTTTTTACCACAGAGCTTGGGGAGGGATGAAAAATTCAACTCGAAAATGTAACAGAAATAAAGTTTTACTATTGCACAATACAAAAGTTTCACATATTTTTACATAGCGCTACATTTACTATTTTGTTTACTAGAAATCACTTAATCTCTGCGCTAGTTTAACAGCCTAAATCGACTATTGGCGTTCCCTCGACCCATACAATTTATAACTATCATCCTACACTGTTTAATTAAAATTATAATTAGTTTTTTTATTTTTAGTTCATTCTTCAAATAAAGGAAACCGAAAAGTATTAGCACTGTCAAGTGTGCAATTTATGGGCAATAAAACTGTTTTAAACAATAGCGACATGGAATTGACTAGAGCTGTAACGTTTCAAAACGTTCGAAATATAACGCTACCAATAAATGAAGCTATGGATTATACGCAATGTGTGGCTGCCGAGAACCCCAATAAAGTGAAAAATTGCAAGAATGTAACGTTATACGATGCCAACATTGAATACACTTGTCAAATACCCCATCTTAATTTTCCAAAAATGCCTCTGGTGGTTAACAGATCGATTACAGACAGTACTAGTATGGACTTGACAGGAGGAATTGGTGAGGAGTCTCTTGTACCATGTAATTCATCACCATCAATGATGGAACAAACAGTTCCCATGACTGATTATCAATTCAAAGATAAGACCAATGTAGAAGGTTCTGTAAACATAGAACTGACTCAGAATGTGTCACTCAGCAATCTTTGTTCGTCTTCGAAGATTAGCTGTGACTCAAGCGGAATAGTTTCGGCCAATAATGTTCAGAATGAAATTACAAAGTTGGGCGAAACTTGTTGCGAACTCCAGTCAGTTCAATCAAGTGGAGAGAATGACAAAACAAGTCTGTTGGTAAACTTAAATGTAGATTATATTAAAGGGCAGGTTTTTGCAGAAAAAAATAAACTGCATCATTCATCATTGAAGGTACAGTGTGATTTAAACTCATTTGATAATGCACAGGCCGATGGGGGTGTTGAAGTGTACTCATTTCAGTCGGATATGGAAATAGACCAAACAATTCCAATAACAGCACGGAGTAAATTAAACTTAAGTCGTGATGGAATTGCTATACCATTGAAGATCTCGGTAGATAACTCGAATGGAAATTGTATAGTTTGTAGTGGTGAAGTTAAGAATTTAATGGATGCTGCAACCACTGATGAATCACAAACTGTTGGTTTAGCTTGTCAAATACCTCGACTGCATTTTGCAAACACGGCGGCTAACAGATCACGTCAACTGCATTCGTTTCAAACAGATTTGGAAATTGATCAAACAATTCCAATAAAAGAACTGAGTGACTCAAATGGAAATCGTACAGCTAAAAATTCAATGAATGTTGCTCCTACAGATGAATCACAGACTGCTGGTCCAGATATTTTGATTGAGAAATGTAAGGAAGGTGTGCTAATAAACCTTGAGAAAGAAGGGGGCCAAATATTACCAGTTAAAAAGTGTGAGATCAGTGGGGTCACATGTACAGAATTAGCGAACAAACCAGAGAAGGAAATGGAAGATGTAAAATTGGAACTTACGTGCAGTATAGACACCAAATGCAAAAGCATCTCTGCATCTCAGTCAATGCTAGAGAAATCTACAGCACTTCCTCAAATGTCGCCTCTGAGACCAGATTACTGTTACCAAAACAAATCAGTCCAAGGAACAGTTGCGGAAACTCTTGTGACTGATTGTAATAATTTGAGTAATTGTCAATCACAGTCCGATTTCTCAAAGATTATTACGGGTGAACTAAATCCGTCCTTTATCAACTCCAAGGTCTTGGCTTTAAGCGATTTTAGTTGTGACACCTTTCCAACTTCATTAAACAACACACGTGAAACTATGAAAGATGGAAAGAAAAAAAGTTTTGGCCTACAAGCAACATACGTTGTAGATTCGAATGTATCGAAACAACCGTCAAAAAGTATGTCAAGTCAAGTACCAACTGATATTAGAGACGTAGAGACACACTTAAATAGTCACACTGGCAAATCTATAAATATCTCCCAAGAAGATATTACACTACTGGAATGTTCAGAAGACACGTTCGATCTGATTACCCAAGAGGCTCAATCTTGCATCCAAAACATTGCAAACCAAACGAAAGCGTCCGATGAAAACAACGTTGATTTCAATCAATTATGGAATGGTCATAAAATTGAAGCACAAAGAATTGAAACTTCAGTGCAGGAGTTAGCAGACAGCATCACAAATTCCGCCGCTAATAGGGGCATTACAACTAGATTTCAATCTTGCTTGAAAATGTATGAAGAAGTAGCAACTCAGTTTTCTGAAAAACATAAGGTGAAAGAATTTCAAGACCGTCACTCGCGAATTGTACTAAAAAGGGCATCAAGTATTGTGGCCGAAGATTCACTACCTCTTCAAACGAGTAGCGACTTCTCAGAAAATTCCATCGAAATTTTAAGCTATGAGGAACAAATCAGAAGAAAGTGTAAAAGGTAATTATTTTCTTTTAATCGTAGCATACACAAAATTGAAAGAATGCAATCGCCAGTTTGCCCTGGAAAGATTTATGCTTTTTTTCTCACAAGTGCTAATGGTAAAAAAAGGTTTCGTCGTTTAGGGGTACATCTTCAAAAGTTTGTAGCGTTCTAAATTTGCAGAAATTGTGGATTATGTTTATGAACAATTTATTCTTTTTAAATGAGGCGGGAACGGTTAAATAGTGTAACCAATAGAGGACACTATGTCTGATGTAAGAGCGCATGCATGTATACACAACTTATGATAAGAGGGATTTTTGAGCGGGACCAAGAAAAAGGCGAATGGCGGTCGTAGAAAAGAAACGTTCCCACGGACATAATAATTAACGTTGTGATTCGAGACTTATTTAAGTCAGTGGGGCTAGGTAGCGAAAATAACGCGTGAGTTACTGAATGTAAAATTAATTTATTGACAGTAAATAATTTTAGGATTTTGGTTACCTACCTATACTACGTGCAATTATTCCGGTACAAACCTAATTAGGCAATAACTTAATCTACATTTCAATGGTTGTCTAAAATTCTTTCAAGAGCCGTTTGTCACCTTAAGTAAGCTATTAATTTGGAATATTCGTCATATTAGCGTACGCGTTACCTTTTAGGGCTCTTACCCCTAAGTACTGGAAATTGGAAAAAATATATAGTAGCCGCCCCTGACGTCACGTGGGACGCAAATTTATTACCTGCACAAGTAACTGCGGAATACCAAGCGCTGTTCCTGATGATAAGATTTTAATTCTATGGTGATAAGCCGCCATCCCACCGTCCACCTGTATGTACGTGCTGTCCATGTGGATAATGGTTCACACAATGCTCTGAGGTTTGAGATAACAAAATTTGAAAGGAGATGTCAAGTTTATTTGTTTAAATTAAGCATATTTGTCTATTATTAATTGTCCATCCTAGAATTAATTGATAATGTTGTGCTGTCCTTAAATTGTCAATTGTTAGTTAGAGTTATCAGCCCAATATTGAAGTCCGTTGAATGATCATTCATCTGAAACACAAAAATTACGTTATCGATATCATCGTCAAGTTATACTTACCTACCGAGTCAATTACCTGTTTAAATAAATTAATAATAGGATCGGTTTTTGCATTACGTTATGAGCTTGTCCGATTACCTGTCATTGGGCAAGTTGGTTTAAGACAGGTTGGCGCCCCCTTCAAACAACACTCAGTACAAGATCCACGACTCAGCTCCCAAATCTTTGAGCACTGTTAACACCCATTATAGCCAACCAAAAAAGGGAAAGTCATAAGTTCCAAAAATTGAACTTTTTTTAGAAACCATACTATACACGGAAATTTACATAGCCCATTCCCATGAAATTTGGTTTACAACCGCATAATCGACCATTTCGAATTGAAATAAAATAATTTCCAAATGGCACCTCTTCCGTAAATACCGGTGGTTTTTTTAAAATAGAAACATACCATTTTCTATTTTTTTTTTTCTAAATGCGCTATTTTATTCCGAATTCAGCACAATTAATATTTAAGTACTTATCTGTCATAGATTTTGACATGTCAATTTTTGAAGATAATTTAAATGTAAAAAATTTGAAGATGCAAGAGTCCATTCAAAAATTCATCTCTTAAACCGTTCAAGATAAGTGAGTGCTCTTTTCTTGTAATCGAATTCTTAAAGTCTAAGGGATTTCTTGAGTGACCGCCGAAAGTCTTGAAAAAGTTTCCAAGGCTGCAAAGTTAGCAATAAAAAAATATCAAAAACTTCAGTTTGTCAAATTGCAAATACTATTACTAATGCCAGAAATGAATGTAGATGTAGATGCACCATGTGGATAATGGTTAACACTGATTGACATTTGATTCGAAGGACATTCCAAATAAAACAATTGCTTCCAAAGCCTACCATACGTAATGAAAAATAAGAATACTCAATAACTACGGGACATATGCATACAGAATGTTAATAGTGACCGTAAAATTTAATAGTAGTTGCAATTTGAATAAGTAAAAAGGTTTCGCCCTAAGGCGAGTAACGTTAGAGCATTTTCCATGATTTTATCAGTACTTCCCAAAAGGTTATTGGTATGTTTTTCTTTACTAAATCTATGGTCAAAATTTCGAAAAGATATCTCGATAAATAAGACAGTTGATATTACGAATCCTGCGCATGCGCACATTAATCTTATGTTTACAATATACGATACGTGTTTGTTTTTACTAAAAGCATCTTTTGTTGAAATTTCAAAGAAATATCTCCATAAAAAAGAAAGTTGGCAGTGCACAGTCTGCGCATGCGCACATATGATTTTTACTATATTGTCACACTAGGGGGTTTGGTAGCTCTGGTTTTAGCACTCAGCATAGCCAGAGGTGTGTGACTTTCAACCGAAATCAATAAGTCATGTTAAGATGTAGTTATTGAATTATTTATTTAAACATAAAAAAATGTACTTACATGTAATCTGTCATTGTGTCACTAAGTACTAACTACTGATCACTGATTTTGATGGCTGATGACTGATCCCCTTAAGAGACTTGGATCGTCTATTTATTGGTGCCCGCCGCCGCAATTAGGTCGGAAATCTCACGCCCCTGTTCAATGGAAATTCTTACATCCAGGACTTTAATTAACCGCAGCCTTTGTATGGGTTGTGAGAAATCGGAACTAACGCAATGCAGCTAACCAATGTTTCCTGATTCGTAGGCTCAGAAATCCCTATGGGGGTTGTCATATCCGTGACTGTTTCCTAATATATTGATTGCAAATTGTAGTTAAGATAATAGCTAAGGTTTTGCATGAATCATTATACCTAATAATTGATAGATTATTAATTTAGAAAAATCACTTTCGTGACATTTGCCTCCTCCCACAGAAATTCCTGACCTCAGGAATTGACTTGTATTTACTGAGGGTAAATACTCAATCTTACTTGCTAACGTAAAAGGTGAAAAATAGAGTGGAATTTCCAGGATGTTCCAGGACATTTCCAGTCTATTTATCCATCCTGTATATACTAAACTATATACAAATAAACCATACTATACAATCATGTTTTACAGTAAGGAAATGAACAAATGTTTATCACCAAAAATGTCTTAACCGCAGTTTTTTTTTTAATTATCACTGTAAGATATGCAAGTATCCGGGTCTACCAAAAACGACTTTTTTATAGTTCATTTGTGATTTAAACGTACTCGCATTAGGTAAGTATCACTAATTAGTTTTAAAGTTACTCACAATTGGTCTCAAGGTGTCTTTATCACTATATTGTTTTTCACTTATTCACATCACTTGGTCCATCGATATATAATGTGTATCTTCCGACGTTGAAGATCGGCGATTTCCCTCAGGGTGTGGCACGTACATAATAGGTGGTGTTGATGGACTCTTCCTGGGCTGAAAAATCACTTTCGTGACAATATGCGGTGTGTTTGTCTCGACTAGACGATTAAAATTTCAACAAAACATTATTAAATAAGAAAGCTGATATTGGGCAGTCTGTGCATGCGCATATTGATCTTCAATATTTTTCTTGGCTCAGATGCCAGAGCTACATACTGAATTCAGAAAGAACGAACTAAATATATTAAAAACATAGTAGTTAAGGCCTTGGGCGGACGGACAGAGAAAGTAACTGCAATTGCGCTAAACACTAAAGTTTTTGACATTTTTTGATTACTAACTTGGAGCCCAGCCCAAGCCCCTGCAACTTTTTCAAGATATGAATTTTCGAATGGACCCTTGCATCTTCAAATTTTTAGAGTAGAATTGACATGTCAAAAATTATAACAGATAGGTACTAAGGTACTGTAATGAGACAGGGTTGATTATTATACCACTCACCTTCACTCAGAGTGAGATCTCCTAAGGGCTGATTCTACAATGAAGGTATATACCAAGAATAAGCTATACCTAGAATAAATGTCGACGGTTGCGTTGGTTACAATTGTGTCAACCAATGAGATACATGTTGCTATGGCAGTTATTCCAAGGATGTCTTATTCTGCGTAAAAGTGTAATTGTAAAACCGGCCCTAAATGATCGTGTTAAGACCCTAGATTTTACATTGTGTCTTGTAGTATTTTAAGTTACAATTTTAGAGGTCGTCATCTGTCGCATCTTTTATTTGAAGTATCACAGAGACAAATTAAAAACATCACGGCATCTTTAAAGCTTTATTCTTTAAATCACAATGCCTGATAGACAATACAACCAGATGTCACAGGTTCTAAGCTATTGTGACATTAGCACACCGTGGTGCCTGAAACCGTGTTAGGTTTCTTCGAACGTAGACAATGGTGGCATGCCCTAAACTAACGGCACCACCTTTCCACTTTACCGCGAGAAGCCTCCTGCAACGACATCACTGACCCTTCATCTTTTGGGTCAGAATTTATTGGCTTTGTATGCCATTTAAGTTTCACGGTCACCAAAGCTGGATACCTAGGAGTTGGTGAGTGTGAAGCCGTATGCCAACTTCTTTTTCCTTGCCTGAGGCCCTTAATTTTCGATCTACTTACAAGCGAGCGCATAAATTGCAGTACTCCACTACCAATTGGCCACGAAATCACGGACTGGTATTAGGACCGAAAAGTCCTGCGGTCTCTCAAGCGCAGTCAACATTCCAAAATCAACTTAAACCAGTAGAACTTCCTTTGAAGGACTTCAATGCATATTCATGAAGTGGTAAAATTAAAATATAAGTCGGTTATAAGAGAAGCAATCAAAAGGATCCCTTCGGCTAGTTAAATTTAATCTAATTTCCTAGTAGCTTGCGTAATTGGTAACCTTAACTCCAATTACAAAAAATTGATGATCGAACGCATTCACAAGGGCTCAATTTTAATTAATCATAAGTAAGCACAATGTGTAATTTTGACAACATTAAATTTAATTCGTTGTTTGGACCACGCCACCCAACGACGGCATGTTGCACCCATTTCGAGGAAATTAGACTTGTGACTTATATACAAAAGCGATATTAAATTACGTAGGCCATTCGATTATTCAATATAAATGAAAAGATTCTTCTTTGCAATATTCCTATAATGGATTCAAACTCCATATAATTAACAATTGTCTGAGGGCCAATTGCACCTTAAAAATTAAGTATCCCTTAAAGTTAAGCATCACTTAAATACCATAGCAACGATTGTCTTAATAATCGTTGCCATAGATTTTAAGTTCGACTTAACTTTAAACAAGGCGTAATTTTGTTGGTGCAACTGGGGCTGATTACATTTCACTCCTACAATTCATTGATTGTGTACATTTTTAGTAAAGCTCTGCACATGGAAGTACCACATTGCTTTTTTTTTACCAAGTAAGTTCCTGAATTAAGTTGCAAATTTCTACATTTTTCCTCTGTCAATGTATGCCCGAACGCTTTCTTTACAAGTTCTTATATCCATTCATTAAAAACAACATATAACAATTAGCCATGCTAGAAACGTAAATTTTTCGCCTTTATTACTTTAGTCGCATACGGACTAACTCTGTTTTGTTTTAAACTGGTTTATACAGAAAAGGGCACGTTACGCGCGATACAAGGACCACTTATAACAGGCGAACCGTACTTTCTTACGTCCGCTCTGTAGCGGGTTGTGTACAGAAAGGCCTTATGTTCGCCTTAGAATTTTTATTACAGACTTTTGTAATTATTTCTTCTGTTTAATAACAAATTTGTGTAATCTAATGCTTATAACTATGTTTTATTATTGGTTTCTTTTTAGAAGTAAAAGCTACTGGACAATCAAATCTCTCAAAGGAGATTTCTGTCAAATACACACTTTATATAAAACTATAAGGCTGGATGTAAAATTCAACACAATGAATGGTATTGTTTCCGAATGTGCTCTACACGACTGCATATTGGGTAATAAATGAGTTTTTAAGTTTCCCAAATATATTAATTTATTTTGTTAACAGATACCTCCGATCCAATTGCATTACTGGTGCATAAACACTTTAAGCACCGTCTCATTGAAAAGAACATCAAATCAGGAGTCGGTGAGAAGTACGACATATTGACGTTGTTAGATTATGTGCATATAAACATGGAAAAGATGTTAGATATTTTTAACGAATTTTGTTCATTTTCCAAGAAGTACAACTTTAAACTGGATAAACAGTTTATGTAAGTAATAGATTGTTATATGCTTAAATATGGTAAGTGACAATAGTATCGATCTTCATTTATAGTTCGTACACTGAGCAATGTAACATGTCATTAAGTCGTAAATTAAATGTCATTTGTAACGCAACCGATAGTTGTATTGAATATACACCTGAAATGCAATGTGAAACTCCGTTTCATACGGGCAAGATTCGCTCAAAACAAACTATGGGAACTTGAAAACAATAGAGCAATAGTTTTCTACTACTTAGAGTCAGCGGTTCTCAATAGTTTTATTAATTATATTGTTCGTGTAAAGTTTATTGTTCAATGAAGCAGCTCAGGTTGAAGTTCTTGGCCAATTTGCCATAAATCCCTCAATGTCAACATTTAGTTTTTTTTTGTTAATTGTTACATTTTTGTTAAATTGTCAAGATGAATATTGACTCTATTGGTACCACTGGAAAGGATTTTTCAGTAGCTTTCCAACGATGTGTCACAAGTATGGGGTTGACATTTAGGATTTTTGAAGAGGGGGGGGTCACTCATAACTTCATTCTGGTTCCCCTCGATACCCCCGTAACGGTTTTGTGTGATTTTCAATATCTTTAGTTGGGGAAATATGGCCGACTGCAAGTTTTAAAATTAACACCCTGTATATTAATTGGTAACGTTACATGTTTACAATGTCTTTCATGCCATGTTCACTTATTCATTATGGAATACGTAATTACATTAGAAATTGTGATGAAACATGTTGAAAATATAAGAATTGAGACAATAAATGAATAAGCGAACATGCGGGGTGTTTCTTTTGTTTGTTTTAAAATGAATTTGTTTCGTTTTAGGGGAACGTTTAACATAGTCAACCTTATTTTAAATAGTAGTTGGAGATTTTATGTCGATATGTCCGAATTAGACAACATATCCAAAGACTCAATTAGGATAGAAGGAGATGGTGCAACAAATGAAGTGCATATAAGGGAAATGAAGAAATTAATGAATAGAGTATCTTGTGGTTTACCCTTTTTAAAGAAGTTTTTAAGTGATGCTTTAGCTTATACTAGTTTGTGTGGTGCGCAAGCACATGGATAATTTATTAATAAACGTTTGCAATATATTTAGACATTTAGTTAAAACGTTATTGCAATATTTGTTTCATATTTAATTTTTTGAAATATGTCTAGTGAATGTTCATTTCCTTAATAAGTTTACATTATATCAGTAAAATTAAGGTATGCTATATAAAATGAAGCAGTGTCACTTCATTCTTTTTATGAAAACAGCTACAGATTGGCGGAGTTTAATGAATGCAGTAAAGTAAGGATCTAATAGATAACATTTCGCTTGCAATTCACGATGTAAAGGTGCAAAAATTCTAAGAGTGAAAATTCGGAAAATGAGTCGAAATAAATTGCATTGCAAGAATAAACTTTGAAATTAATTGTTTGTAATGATGTGAATGCATAACGTAAATAAATAAATGTAAAGCGATGGGGTATACAAAAGGGATTTTTTTTAAATATTGATTTATGAAAAAAATGTATTCTTCATGATATTTTTTGCTTGCTTTGAAAGTACCAATAACGTTTCGATAATCTAAAATTTATGTATAGAAATCT